CACTGTCTGCCTTTTCCTTTACCATTTGCTGTATTTCTCAACGAGACAGGAAGTCATTCGTGCCTAAAGGCAGCAGAAATGCCTCAGTTTTCATTCCTGAATGCCACCGTGTTTGTTTTCTAGGAATACGCAGAGTGGAAAAAAGAAGCCACTGATATCTCCCTGCCTGGTGTCTACATCGGCTTGATGGACTGTCTGAATCACTTCAGCCGTGTGATTGTTGACTCCACGCAGGAGCTCTGTGCCTTGCTGGTGTCTTCATACATAGGCAAAGTCAAAGAAACGTGCAAAAGCGGTAAGAAAGTGAGCAGGAAGCAACTACATAGCAGCAGCAAGAGCACAGAGATCCAGAGAGTTGTGTAGCTGCCGGGGCATGTTCAGTCTTGTAAAGAATTTTTAGCTGTGCTTGAGCAAGAGCAGAATGTATGATTCATGATGAAACTGCTTTGCTAGTCATTAATATGCCTCCATAAGAAATGAAATGACAGCACATACCTGTTGCCCTGGAGAACGTTTTTGTGCATAATAAAAACAAAATTCATGAAGAGAAATCTAAACATGTTGTCGTATGAGACACTAAAATATGTCTTCTTTGTTTTTGCAGACAAAGTGGGAATAAAGACAACAGTAAAGGCTATTGTTGCAGCAAAACACATCAAGTCTCTTCCAGATCCGGTGACACGGGCGGACTTTCTAAAGTGTAAGTATTTCTGTAGTTAAGAACTGCGAGTAGCAAACAGTGTGCTTCCAGAACCAAAAAAACAACCTCGGATGTGCTTATAGTCTGTCTTTTATTTTAAAACTATAATAAATATGGGGTTTTGGCAAGGATGCAAATTTCATGAAGACCACAAGCACAGTGTCCTGGGTCTACCCCAGGTTCTCCCTCCAGTCGGAAATGCCCGGGCATGCTTACCTAGGAGTTCAAATTTTATTTGTCACATACACAGTCATACACAGTACGATATGCAGTGAAATGCTTAGACAACTGCTCGTGACCTAAAATAAAAGACTATGAGTAGGATAGGAAATAAATATGAAAATTAAAATGAAGAGTAAATTTAACTAGGAAAGAATAAAATAAAATATAAAAATTAAAGTTAAAAATAAAAAGCTGTACAACAAAATACACAATAT